GTACCTAGACTTTTGGAATTTAAGTGCATTACTAAACTGGCGTCGGGATCTATACAATTTACATTTCAGCTGGCTAAATGTAGCCATAAGTTCTATGCTAACAGTTTCTTTTCTCGCACTTCTCGCTTGTGGAACTTTCTTCCTGTTCCACGTTTTCCAGTCAACTTTAATCCTCAAAGACTTAAATGCAATGTCAATACTGTCCACCTGATTACTCTCTTCTCTTTCTGTTCATCATTAATGTTTCTGTTCATAATCTTTCCACATCCATTAAGCCCTTGTATCTTAGTGGCTTTATTGCCTTGCTTCGGGTGATTTTGATTAAAAACAAAAAAAAATTGAATTATTTACATTATTCGGAATATTATCTTCATCTTCATTGCCATATTCACAACGTTTCTGTCGTTGTACACTCCGGACTTCTTCAGGTGATTGGAATTTTGAATCGAACCCTTTATTTTGTCCAGTCAGTTATGTGCCATGCGTGATACGCTCTTAGACGATCATGTATCTTTCGATAGCTGCCAGACGTGGCAATTTCTTTCCGACTTTACTTTCTGCTATCCAAGAACTCGGTCTGTCCTGCTATTTAGCCATAGCTGGGGGAGAAGAAGTGCATTCATACCTTTCCCAAGGGTATTAGCACCTAAGTGAATGTAATGGATTCGACTGGAAATCGAACTCGGCTCTCCGCTATTCATTACTCCACTGTTCGTCCACGTGACTTGCCTCTTCCGGAGTTACTTCCCTTTAACTCAATATGGCAATGAAGATGAGGATAACAGTCCGAATAGTGTAAAATAACGTAAGTAATCACAACACCTCATCTCAGTGATATAGAGATACAAAAAAAAAAAAAAAAAAAACATTGATGAGGAGATTGACCTGCATTTACTGGTGGACTGAAATTATCTCTTATGTTACTTTTTTGTAATATATATATATATATATATATATATATATACAAAAACATTGTGAAACTTGCTATGGAGCGTTTATCACAACATGTTTACTATTATATTCCAGGCTGTTGGGATGAACAAAAAAAAAAAAAATAAAAGACATTTAACATTTTATTTTAACACATGATAAAACAACTTTTATTCATTTGCTGTCTGAGAACAGCAAGGACATGTTTAGATTGACACCATAAATTCCACGTCCGAGTTAGTTTATCACCATGTTTAATTCAGATGTGACGCGCTCGACTTTCAAGACAAGGGAAGTAACTCTATGTATTTTGTGTTATCGTCCTTCATAGGGGATGTAAATCAGCTTCCACTGTGTATTTACTCTGTCTCCTCACTAAGACGAGTTGTGAGTTTTTAATGTGGGGAGCCCGAGCGTGTACACCCGGGCTAGGAACAAAAATTGCTCGCGGCCCCCGCAATCGTCGGTTGCGCGGGCCTCGGGGCGTGGACTGATCCATCTCTCTGGTCCAATGAGAGGGCGCAGCCTCAGGGAGCTGTTTCCCAGTGCTGGGTATCTTTCTGTATAATTTTCCTCAGTTCGACGGAGCCGCCCCTGTGTGCACTCTGCCCAAAGACAGAGACACAACAAATCAGCTTCCACTAACATCTACTCACGATAAGAAAAAGATGAAAAATATTTTGTTATAATATTTTTTTAAAACGGATGCATATAATGAGGACAGAGTGCTTGGAAAATCTGACACACACAGGCTAGATTAACGGCATGAGTGACAAAAGAAAAAAACAATGCATAACCTTTTTATCGAGCGGGACAGGGTTTAGGAGTGATAACAAAAAGACAACATTTATTCAGAGCTGCAAAGGACGGGAAGTTATGGAGAGCCTTGATCACGTAGGCCCTGAAGGGACACGACACATAGAAGAGGGATATTTTTATGAGTTTTCTCGTGGGCAATTTAAAGGTCTTCAATGTACTTGTCTAAGTATACTGGCCGAGTGCCATCTGTTTCAATTGAAATCTTGGTCAGAGTTATGTAAAAAATCGCAACAAGTATACGGAGGACGTGGCACAAGGTCGGTTTAAAGTGGGGGTCCCAAGTGCGTGAAGTGAGGGAGACAATGCTGCAGGATACGAATCCCCGGGACCAGGCATCTTTTATTAATTTTTTTTGTGTTCTGTCCTATGACAAAGGCACAATTTGAGAGATTTGAGAAAAAAAAGAGACGGTTTCTACATTTAACGTTCTTACTTCTTGTGAATACATGACACAGATATATATATATATATATATATATATATATATATATATATATATATCTTACTTATTATAAAACGCAGATTGCGTGCGTGTGTGTCTGTACGTTTACATATTGGATCGGATTTCCTACATTTTTCAACCGATTTTAACAAAACTTCACAGGACTGCGTAAAATTACCTTGCGGTGATTCTGACAGCACCAAAAATTGGAAAAACACAATTGTTTTTGCACGAAATCAATTTGAAAACACGATAAAACACGTTTCTGTCACCAGAATGAAAGGGAGACAACTCATATCGAGTTATAATTATTATAAAACCCAGGTTGTTTGTTTGTGTGTGTGTGTGTGTGTGTGTGTGTGTGTGTGTGTGTGTGTGTGTGTGTGTGTTTATTTATATATGGGATCGGATTTCCTACATTTTTCAACCGATTTCAACAAAACTTCACTTTTTTTTGGCAGGTAGTGTTTCTTATTGCCTTGCACACATTTTCTTTATTTTTATATTCGGAATGCTTTAAAAATTCCATTTACACGACAATTGTTTATAATAAAATTCGGTTCAATCGGTAGACTCATAACGATTGAAAACAATGTTTTTGTTTGAGTTTGGGTTTGACCAATTCGTAAAAAAAAACAAAAAAACTAAGACATGCGTGTCCGTCAACCTTAAACAATAATCTTTGTCAATTTTATTTTTTAGTCTTTATAGTGGTCGATACTTGATCAAACGCTTACTGTTACATCCCCGGGAAACGCCGAGATCTACTGCTAGTATATATATATATATATATATATATATATATATATATATATATATATATATATATATAAGCGAAAATAAGTTTAAGAAAGATGGTTAAATTTTTATTCATTTTCAGTATATATTTTTAATAAAACAATATGAATTAGTTTTATTGTTTACACTTTATGCAGAAATTATTTCTCTTTCGAATGATGTAAAAATTGTATATTTTTCTACAACATAAAATGTTTTAATATTGGATGAATTTAAATTATTCCGGCAGAATAACCTGGTATGATGGGTATTATACAAATTATTTGCTAAATGGTTGGCCACATGGCTGGTCATTAATACATTTTAAAGTATAATAACTGAACATTATTATACAATTAATTCTCTATGGGAAAGCGTCGTAGACTTAGCCCAGTGACTTGATCAAAAATAGTCTTACTTCATCAACAAAACGTTTCCTTTATGAACATAAGCAAGGAATTAAAGTGCAGAAAATAGTTCAGGCTGGGAAGGTTTACCAGGATACCGGACAATATAAAGATAGGCAAAGATCAGGAGCTCCAAGAAAAACAACAGCGCAACAGGATAGACGAATTCATAGGCTTTTCAAAGATAACTGAATGCTGACGGTCGTGCTGGACTCTCTTATCGTGAACGATAAATAAGGGTCAGCAGGGGATGGTGCCTTTCTTTTTACACTTATGCATGCGGGTAGTGACTATTGGGGAGAAAATCAGGTAAGGAAACGACATATTTAATTTTTGCTTTCTTAAGTCCGATACTATCCCATCCTTCCTGCGGGCAACAAAGCCACACTGACAGATGAAATTTATTAAAGCAGGATTTTGATGGCTTCTCTGCTTCAGAATTTGACCATGCTGATCACGGTGCTTCAGTCTACTGTCTTCAAAACTCCTTAACTTAATGAGATATGTCTTACGCCACTTGTTGTATCTTTGCTAGAATGGTTTCAATGATTGTAATGTTACATTTCTTCAGTACTGCACTATTCTTGACACTATATATATATATATATATATATATATATATATATATATATACTAGATTAAAAGCTGCTGTACAGAGCGGCATTTTACCAGGCTCCTGCAGTGGGCTCTTAAATGGGCTCTAGACTTGTTCAGGAATTTGAGAGTCAATAATTTTTGCATATTCGCAACATTGGAAGGTCTTCTGGTTGCGGTTTGATCATGGTTTTCATTTGAACGGAACTTTCTTTTTCTCGCTGAGGCCTTGTATCTTTTGATTGCAATCTGGTCCTCTGTTAGCGGGGCTTTCTTTTAGCGAGGCATACTGCTACCGTATGCGATAGGCAACAATAAACTAGAGAATTCAATATTGATCCTTGCATTTAATTATGTTCAACGGTATTTCTTCTACCACCATGTAATTTAAAGACAATTTGATGTACGTAGGCCCTATCGGGTGTTATTTAACCTAACGCCTGTGGAAGGCTCTTGATTGGGCCTTTGGCTTGTTCAGGAATTTGAGAGTCCCTAAGTCTCTGTTTATTCTGCACGGGACTTTCTTTTCCTCGCTGCAGCCTTGGCTCTTTTGATTGCAATCTGGTCCTCTGTTGCCGGAGATTTCTTTTTGCAAAGCAGACTGCTGCCGTATGCGACAGGCAACAATAAACTACAGAAGAACTCAAAAACTGATCTACAAAGATCAGGAGCCCCAAAATTCAAAATTTAAAAAATAACTGAATGAAGCACTAAAAGAAAGGTTTTAAATTCGGAATTTACGGACACGTCTGTGTTTTTTTTCAATGAGAGGAGAAATGAACAAAGAAGTAGGACCCACTCTTTCTGGGAAGCAAATACCAATCACTTTTTAACGTGTGATTTTATTTTGAAAATATATTTCAATTCCGATCTGCGTCTTTTTTTATCGGCTGTTGAAGGAAGACGATAAAAGGACGCATCTTAAAAAAAGACAACAACAATTTCTCCTGTCGCTTCACACGTCAACCAACCGTTCCATAGCATTGAAGATATCAGATGCGGGCTTTTAGCACCTGTAATTTCCATAGGAAATGTTGTCTCCCCAACCCAATTTAAACACTTGTCATGACTTAGCCAAGATAACACCAAACCATACTCTGCCGTGTATTTTTTTATCATGAGAAACCAAGCAAGGTCCAGAAGATTTGATAACGAAATCTGAACGCGTAATACAATAAAAGAAATATGCCTTCTAACAGCTAAGAAAACTATTAAGAAACAGGAAAAATTCTTTAGAAACAAGGAAAAGAGTGCTGAAAAATAATTTAAAACACAGCTTAACTATAAACTCAACAAATAATATAATAAATAAATATCTAAATATGGGTATTTAAATTCGTAAATGATATTTACCCAATTTAATTTTGTTCTCGGAGGTGAATTATTATTTTTAACTATAAGGTTAGAGGTTTTAAATTTTTTGTAATAAATAATTAATCTAATTTGTTTGCTATTGTCAACTGGTGTTATGCAATTTTTATTATGTTCTTAATTCTGCCTTCATTTAATTTAAATGCCCATTAAAGAATTCTTATTCTTGATCAATCAAAATTCGTAAATAACTATATAGGCCACACTACAACATGTTTGACACACAGACTCACTATACACCTTTTTGACCAGAGCTCAAGTAGATCTCATTTAAATATTCATGGAGACCTACCGGACACTATTCGTAACATGTTGAAAAAACTGATATAATAGCATCATCTACATGCCAAAAACAGGCTAAATATTATGGAAACCTTATTAATAAAAACAAAAGAATTCAACACATAATAATATTAACTTTGAACATGGACACAATATCTTGACCGTGTTTTGAAAAATGAAAACATTTTATAAAACATGCATACAACAAACTATTTCTTATTTAACAGTTAAAATATTTCCTCCTTGAAAATGGCTAAATGTATAGCCGAAAGCGCTCGAATAAAAAGAACATTTGAACAGTTTTTATATAATTTATCATCTGAAAAGAAAAAAAATATTAGATCGCATGAGAAATTGTCTAAAAAACTAAATAAAAGCACCTTGTCTGTCGTTTTCAAGGAAATGTGCATGGAAGAAGGATTGCTGCCTGAATACGCATATATATATATATATATATATATATATATATATATATATATATATATATATATAATAACACAGTAAAAAGAACTTTAAGGTATTAGATGTCATCTACATTAATACAAAGCAAACCATACACATTTCAAACCAGTCACAACATAGTACTATACATTTAAACACATGGATCTGTTGATAACTTTTGTTTCTCTCACGTGGTCATGTACGACGTCAAAGAACATCATTACGACGTCAAAGAACCTCATTACGAAGTCAAAGAACCTCATTACGAATTTACGACCTGCGTCTGCTTTTCTATGACCGTTATCGTCACATAGCAAACTTCTATGTAAACATAACTGGATGCCATCTTTGATTGTGAATATCTCTGTTGTAATGTCTATATAACCACTCTGATGATGGCTTATGTGAGTCGAAAGGTTAGATGCACGAACAACATAATAAAAAATTTCCAAATGTTCGGATAGTTTTTTGTTTTCTCCCGAAACTAAAGCCACTATATGAATCTTAGAACGGCTCATAATCATACGTAAATCCCATTTACAGCCTCTTTCTCTTTACTTCCCCCTTCTTTCTTTTTCCTTTTTCTTTTCTCTCTTCTCCCCTCCCATTTCAATATATCACTTCCGTTAAGTTAACCGTTTAAATAAGTCGAGGTCTGGTTACTCCTCCTCCCCCAATATTAAGTATGATTGAGAGAAATATTAAATTAAACCCCCTCTAAACTCTACCATGCCTCTCTAACCACTCCTTATTACGCTCTCTGTTAAATTACAAAAAATTACACTACACATCAATTTTCATTTCATTTTTCGTTTCATATTTTGGAAGTGCTATCTGATGATCCGGCGTCCTTTAAAAGGGCTCTGGTGAAATAAATTATTATAATGGAACCTTAAAGTGGTCTGTTTTTCTTTAATATATATATATATATATATATGTGTGTGTGTGTGTGTGTGTGTGTGTGTTTAACAGATTGTCAACTGCTTTTGGGTTTATTTAATGCCGAAATTTCAATTTTTTGTAAGCTTTATTGCTGGTATTTTTTAAAAAATATTTTTTCCTTTTTATTATGAATACGTAGTCTTAGCTAATTTTTCTCTAATGCATTGCTATATATTTATATCTTCATCCTTTGACCCCAGTTTGAGGGTTCACTGTTTTCCCATAGGTGGGACCCTAACAGGTGCTACTACCCTGGGTCAGTGTGGACCTAGGAACACCAGAAATTAAGAGATGGTTTCACGCTCCTCAAAGCCTTCTGAACAAAAGCCTTGCTGCCGGATGTAGCTTATCGTCTCACCAGGACACGCATGTAGTTTATCATCACACCCAGGACAACAACTCTCTACTTAACTATTTGCCCATAGTTGGGGCCCTGGTTTAGTGTGGTCCTGTGAACACCAGCAATTAGGAGGGTGGTTCCACGTTCCTCAGAAACCCTGCAGGTCAGATGTCTTGCTGCCAGATGTAGTTTAACTTAATACGCAGTACGATCCTCTTGTATAACTGCGGATTCTGGACAAACTCTTTCAAGGTGAAAAGACAACTACAGAAGGATGCTGAGAATGCCCTGGACGAATTGCGTTAGCAACGAAGCAGTCTTTAAGGAATTGCAAACCTAAAGGAACCCCTACACATAATCGGAAAAAGACAACTGAAATTCCTTGGATATATAATGAGGAGAGAAGGCTTGGAGGATTTGAAGCTCACAAGACATAGCGAAGGCAAAAGGCCACACACCTGAGGAACTTGAGTGAATGGATTGAGGAGACGGGTTTAGGGAACCTGAGAAACGTTTCTTCTTCTTCTTCTTCTTCTTCTTCTTCTTTATTCTCCTCCTCGCCCTTCTTCTTCTTCTTCTTCTTCTTCTCTATTCTGATCCTCACCCTTCTTCTTCTTCTCCTCGTCCTCCTCCCCCTCCTTCTTCTTCTTCTTCTTCTCTATTCTGATCCTCACCCTTCTTCTTCTTCTCCTCACCCTCCTCCTCCTTCTTCTTCTTCTTCTTTATTCTCATCCTCGCCCTTCTTCTTCTTCTCGCCCTTCTTCTTCTTCTCGCCCTCCTCCTCCTTCTTCTTCTTCCTCTTCTTCTTCCCACCTCTTCTTCTTTATTCTCATCCTCGCCCTTCTTCTTCTTCTTCTTCTCGCCCCCCCTCCTCCTCCTTATTCTTCTTCTTCTTCTTTTTCTTCTCACCTCTTATTCTTTATTCTCATCCTCGCCCTTCTTCTTCTTCTTCTTCCGCTTCTTCTTCCCACCTCTTCTTCTTTATTCTCATCCTCGCCCTTCTTCTTCTTCTTCTCGCCCCCCTCCTCGTCCTTATTCTTCTTCTTCTTCTTCTTTTTCTTCCCACCTCTTATTCTTTATTCTCATCCTCTCCTTCTTCTTCTTCTTCTTCTTCTTCTTCTTCTTCTTCTTCTTCTTCTTCTTCTTCTTCTCATCCTCGCCCTTTTTCTTCTTCTTTGTCTACCTGTTTTTCCTTCACCTTTCCGCACTGTTCTCTTTTCATTTATCATTCCTTTCTCTTTTTAGCACCAATAGTAAAAAAAGAAGAAAAAGAAGAAGAAGGCCATTATGTATCAATGATTAATATACTGTGTGTTGTGACGCATTCATTTTTTTTCACTTTATCCACATCCATACCACAGTACTCATTTTATTTTGACTCAGGTAAACATCTGTTCACTTACTGAATCAATAGATATTGGCCACATAATCCCTTTCCAGTGGTTGGTAATTTTCCTGGGGTAACTGCTGATAGGTACAAACCAAAATCGCACCTAAGTAGCCCAAAGTACCATGAAGTTTCGGAAATGTCCTGACCTGAACTGTCCTAACATTTTGCTCGTAAACATTTAGTTCTGGTCCCATATACTCAAATCTTACTTTTCGGACATAATCGGTGCACCCAGCACACCAAACTGAAGTAATCCACTACTGTTTAACTTCTCATACACTCCTGAGCTTAAGATACGAGTTTGTTACGAGACCGTAACTGTCCTTCTTGTTACACGGGGCTGGTCGTAATATATTGAGTCACCAGTGTATATAGCATGCTGAACTACACACTTCAGATGCACAGTAGGAAAACAAAAGAAAGAAAAAGCCCCCCCCCCGCTTCATTCATGGCCACAATACCCCTTTCCAAATATCACGTTTCTTCGTGATAAAAGTAAGTCGCCAGCACAAAATATATTCGTGTTTTCCCTTTCAGTAATTTTGAGATAAACGCCAAAAGTTTCATATTCCAAATGAGAGAGACTTAGTCTAAAACATCCCCTCCATTTGACCCTGGTGATTTTGTAGACGGCCCTCTTCGTAAATCAATAATAAATAATTTGATAAGTAAACAAAAGACGGATAAAGAAAAAAAAAGAATCATATGAAGGAGTCGAACGATATCCTTTTGGAAAAAAAAAAAGAGAAAAAAAAAACATAAAAAAAATGGACGTCGATTTTCTTTGCATGCGTAACTTTGAGGACAGATTGTTCACATCACTTTCCGCAGCCAGAGGAACTCAGAACATCAAAACAAAAACAAAAAAAAATGATAACTTGAAAACAAACTTCTCCAAGTGTATCAAAATAATACGTTGGGGATTTTGATAAGTTGTCAGCCTGATAAAATGGCTCCTCCTTCCCCCATCTACCTCTTTTGGGAATTTAGTCGGGCTAGGACTTTTTCAGAATAATCTTGTAAAAACATCTTGCCACCCCACCAAAAAATCGATAGAATGAGAAAAGAAAGCACATCCACTTCACCCCACTCAAAAAAAAAAAAAAGAAAAGAGAAAAAAAGAAAACAGCTCAGATAAAAAGCGAAAATAAAATATTAAAATTAACATTTCCCTCAACAATAAGTTGTTCGAAAAGTAATTACATATTTCAAAGTTCTGAACCAACCCCACTATGTATTTCCTTGCTATGATTTATGAGTTAACCTACCGAGGTTAGATCCAAGGTTAAATGATACGAAACTATGTCTAGAAGTAGTTAATCATTTCTTCTATTAGGTTGTACGGAAAGTACTTTCGTATTTCGCCGCTATGAATTATTAATCAATCGACAAAGGCAGGACTAAGGTTGAATGATACGAAACCAGTTTATTATCTCTTCTATTAGGTTGTTCAGAAAGTAATGACGTATTTCAATTACGCTATTGGCTAATCAACCAAGGCAGAATCAATTTTGAATGATACGAAACTACGTCTAGAATTAGTTTATCATCTCTTCTATAAGTCTGTTCGGAAAGTAATGACGTATTTCAATTACGCTATTGGCTAATCAACCAAGACAGAATCAAGTTTGAATGATACGAAACTGCGTCTAGAATTAGTTTATCATCTCTTCTATTAGGCTGTTCGAAAAGTAATGACGTATTTCCCCGTTATAAATTATGAGCCAACCAAGCTAAGCAGAAAGACTGTTGAATGTTACAAGACTGCGTCTCGGACTAGTTTCCAGACCTTGAATTCCTATTCGTGAATTATTTCTAACTAATGTAGGATCCAGTATCCTTTTTGGATTTGTTTTGATTTTTCTCTCCAAAAGTGTGCAATTTATAGTGGCTTTCCGAGTTTAATTTCAAGGCGCATTATATCTGTATTTCGTAAATATGGCGACAAAGGTGAGGACAATAGTCCGAATAATCTAAATAATGTAGATTAAAAGGTGTTTAGAAACACCAGAGAATGAGAGAGGCAAAACAGTTTTGGAATAATTTATTTTGTGCTTTTTAAACATAAGAATGTTTATAATAAAAAGCAATGAATAAGAAATACTTCAAGAATACCGGCGTTTTTGTTTTTTTTTGTTTTTTTTTGTTTTATAATTGATAAACATTTAAGTTCAGTTCATAATTGCCTGTCGACTTACAGTGATTGGTTTGGTTTATTTTGTTTTACTGCATATCAACCTCACTGGGTTATTTAATGCTGACAAGACTTTTACGATAGATTCGTATGAATAGAATATGTATTCTTTGTAAGGAAACAGTTTGTAGATCTGGTTTCATTGATATAATTTTGTAAAGAAGGTTGTTGTCAAGAGTCTGCTTTCATTCATGTATTCTTTTCAGATACACGGTTTGTTTTACGCCATATCAACCTCAATGGGTTATTTAATGCCGACATTATTTTTAGGATAGATTTGTATTGAGCACTTTATACCATAAATATAGCACACCTTAAAAATATATTTCTTCATATATATATATATATATATATATATATATATATATTGTGTGTGTGTGTGTTGGTTTGGTTTGTTTTGCTGAATGACATATCAGCTTCAATGGATTATTTCATGCTGCCGAGATTTTTAAAACAAATTCATATCGATAAAATATATATTCTTTGTAAGAAATCAGATTGTAGATCCGGTTTCATTAATATAATTTTATAAAGAAGGTTGTGGTCTAGAGTCAGCTTTCATTGATGTGTATTCTTTTCAGATACACGGTTTATAGAGAAATTGATTTTGACTTTCTCATTCGTTTTATAATTTTTGGTAGGTTTGGCTTGGTTTGTTTTGTTTTACGGCATATCAACCTCAACGCTTATTTAATGTCGACAATATTTTTATTGCTGGTAATATTTATTTTCGATAAAATATTGTTGGTAATATTTTTCCAAAAATGTATTTCTGGTAATATTTTATTTTCAAAAAATGTACTGCTGGTAATAATGTATTGCTGGTAATAATTTTCTACAAAAAATTTCTGGTATTAAAACCTATTTTTACACTTTCATAATGCTTTGACCTCAGTTTGGGTTTTCCCTATTTTCCCATAGCTGGGACCCTAACAGGTGCTACCACTCCGGGTCAGGGTGGACCTGGAGACAATAGCAAGTAAGAGTTGGTATCACGCTCCACAAAACCTCCTGATCAGAGGCCTTGCTGCTGGATGTTGTTTATCGTCTTCCCCAGGACGCGGATGTATTTTATCGTCTTCCCCAGGACGTGGATATAGTTTATTGTCATACCCAGGACTCAGATGTATTTTATCATCTTCTCCAGGACACGGATGTGGTTTATTGTCTTCCCCAGGACGCAGATGTATTTTATCGTCTTCTCCTGGACGCAGATGTAGTTTATTGTCTTCATTGGGACGCGGATGTAGTTCATCGTCTTCCCCAGGACGCAGATGTATTCTATCGTCTTCTCCTGGACGCGGATGTAGTTTATTGTTTCCTCGGGACGCGGATGTAGTTCATCGTCTTCTCCAGGACGCGGATGTAGTTTATCGTCATACCCAGGACTCAGATGTATTTTATCATATTTTCCAGGACGTAGTTCATCGTCTTCCCCAGGACGCAGATGTATTTTATCGTCTTCTCCTGGACGCGGATGTAGTCTATTGTCTTCCTCGGGACGCGGATGTAGTTCATCGTCTTCTCCAGGACGCGGATGTAGTTTATCGTCATACCCAGGACTCAGATGTATTTTATCATCTTCTCCAGGACGCGGATGTAGTTCATTGTCTTCCCCAGGACGCGGATGTAGTTTATTGTCTTCCACGGGACGCAGATGTATTTATCGTTTTCTCTTGGACGCAGATGTAGTTTATCCTCTTCCTTGGGACGCGGGTGTAGTTCATCGTCTTCTCCAGGACGCGGATGTAGTTTATCTCATACCCAGGACGGAGTTACAGTGTTAAATATGCATTCTTTTAATTTATCTTCTCTTTATCCCTCTAAAATTGTAACGATAAAAAAAATCAATTAAAAATGTGTCTTTATTGATAGATGGAACATTTCAGTATTCGTTCTTTATGTAAACAGTACGTCTCTTAAAAATAGTTTTAGTTTAGACTGATTTAAAATTAATTTTAACGTTAAAAGAAGATAAGAATTCGCGTATTACAGTATTCTTTTATTTTAGTAATTTTTTGGTTGAGTTACTGGGATAAAAATGTATTCTTTTAATTTATTTTTTCTTTGTACCCTCTAAACATTTAGCAATAAAAATTTAATTAAATATTCGTCATTTGTAGTTGGAAAATTCAGCATATTGATTCAAATGAAAAGTATTCGTTTAATCTAGAAATAGTTTTTCTTAACACAAATTGTTTTTGAGTTACGCCGATAAAAAATTTTTTTTTTTTTTTCATTTTGTTCTTTTTTCCTTAAACTCTAAAAATGTAACAATTAAAAGAAGCAAAGATTCCTTATTTTTATTCATATGAAAATTATTCGTTTATAAAAACAATATTTTGAGTTGGTGATAAACAATGCATTCCCTTAATTTGTTATTTTCTTTTTCACCCACTAAAATGTAACAACAGGTAAGTAAAATAAAAAGAAGCTAAGAATTAAAACTGTACAATTTGGAGTAAATCTGTTTTTAATAGTATTTAAAAACATTTGAACTATTTCATGATTTGTTTTAGGTCTCCAATAAACTAAGAATATATATTTTTTTACAATTAGTATGAAATTACAAAACAGTAATTTTCAGAATAGCATTTATTTCGAATTTTCTTTTTACCTCCGAAG